CTCAAAAAGCTAAGCACCAAAAAAAACCAAATAACCCAATCAACAAATGGGCCAAGGACCTGAACTTCTCAGAAGAGGATATACAATAAATCAACAATACATGAAAAATGCTCACCATCTCTAGCAATCAGAGAAATGCAAATCAAAACTACTCTAAGATATCATCTCACTCCAGTCAGAATGGCAGCTATTATGAAGACAAACAACACTAAGTGTTGGCGAGAATGTGGAGAAAAAGGTACACTCATACATTGCTGGTGGGACTGCAAATTAGTGCAGCCATTATGGGAGTACATCTTGGAATTTATTTTTATCACTTTATATTTAATAAGATTTAGTCTTTGGGGTTTGTTGAAGCCAACTAAAGTTTTTTTGAATTGGCTGAAGTATTTGATTACCTGTTTTAAGGATCTTGATTTTTACTGAATAGGCAATCGTCAGCCACCAAAAGTAAGCAGATGAGTACTGCAATAATACAGTGTTAAGGAAAGTTATTGTGTTGATAGTATGTAAAGGGTTTGGGAGAGGTGAAAACAAAGTAGGAAGGTGAGATCTTTGTAATGGTTGAAATGCAGGGTGGTCATCAGGGTGTTAGGATGAAAGAAATTTTGCACTTTGTCTTGTTCACTGCCATATCTTTAATGTACAAATAAATTTGGCACTTATTAAGTACTGAGAAAATATTTGTTGATTCAATAAATGAATTAATCATTTTTTATATGTAGGCTATATGCAGAAAGAAAGGACAACGTTCTCTAATATTTTAAGCTTGATTTAACTATTGCAAACAGGGAAATTGAACAGAGAAAGTTTTGAGGAAATACCAAGAACTTTGTTTTATTGATTTAATGCTTTCAAATAAAACATTTGATAAACATTTTGGGGGATTTAAAATATTGGAGAGAGATTGTTTGCTTGGAGTTTTAAGAATCATTTGCCTAAAAGTAATAGATAATAGTATTGGTAATAAATAAAAGAGCCAAAGACCCAAGAGAAGGGCAAAATAATCTAATGGGCAGAAGATAACATATATTGAGTGCTTTCTGCGTGCCAGGTATTGTTATGAGATTTGTATATAATATCTTATTTAACTTCACAACATCCCCAAAAGCTATTACCTAGGAAAACTGAAATTGAGAGAAGTTAAGCAACTTATCCCAGATCCCCTGCCCAATACGTATTACAGCCATTATATGAACTAGATGAATCTACCTCCAATTTTTTATCTCTGTTGCAATCACCATCTTTAATGAATTTTGTCTACCTCTACCATTAAGCACTACAACATAATTGTTTTGTCCTTGTTTACTGAGTTCAACATTTGGTTATTTTGTAGGTCTGTTTCTATTTCCTTTTGTTTTGGGTTTTTCTTTTTTCTTTTGATTATAGGTCACATTTTGCATATTTTATCATCTCTTTTATATTTCCTGTCATATATTGAATAAAAAAGAATGGTAGAGACTGAGGTAAATAATCCTTACCCTAGAAAAAGGCATATTCCTTTCTCCATCTGGCAGCTAGTCTGGGATGTGTATTCTCTTCAGTCTCATCTCCACTTGAACTGGGACTGTTCTTAGTTGCATTTCATTTGAATATGCACTTCTTGAAGTTACTTTGATTAGGACTCTCTTTTCATCTGGGCTTGGAATTCAGCTTCAATGAGTCTAGGGAACCCAACTCCCAGCCCACTTTACAGGCAGTTCTGCTTCTTCAAGAGTTTGCTACTCTCAGCCCCTCCAAGCCCTAGAGGAAATTTCTCAGTCTTCCTACCCTGCCCCCAGTCTTTGGTGAAGTGGAAATTTAATAGAAAAGATTTGATGAGCAGGTGTTCCTCATCTCCTTTTTGTCCAAGACCCAGAATACTGCATGTAGTCACTGTATGCACTCAATTAGGATTTGTGGTAAATAACTAGCAGACTAAACAGATTCCATGGATCTTCTCAGGACTCTAAAAATTTATCACAGGAGTCCACTGATCATAAAAGTTTGGCTGCTTTCTATATACATTGATATAATCCTTTAATCTATGGAGGTTTGAATCTCTTCCCTTGGTTCTCCAATTAAGAAAGTAGACATGGAATTTCACTCATGTAGGAAAGGCTTATCCAATCTGTAATTTAGTTCATCCACATGACTGCATTCTCAGCACTCTGGGTTATAAAAGCACAATTTTATAACCCATCCGACATTTTTGTAATGATGAGAATAGCTTTCAACTTCCGCTTTTCATATACAGTACTAAGTAAAAAATATAAATATATTTTAATCATTAAAAATATTAGTTCTTAAAAGAATAGACAACGTGAAAATATTTATTTTTCATTATAGATTGCTATTATATATGTGGAAATTATGGAATCTCAAAATTCAGGAAGAAGCTAAAGTTTTAAACAGTCTAGATTTTTAGTATTTTTATTGCAGTTATGCTAATAGGAAAACATCAGAGAATTTCAAAAATTGCATTTGGAGTGCTTGAGTGCTAGCATACATTAATTTTCAATTTTAAGGTGAAGCCAGAGACAGACCTGAGATGTTTTAGAAATAAAGTTGTTGTTTTCTATGAAATATTAGTAACATCAATCTACAAGTTTTAGAAAAGTAAATTGCCCTTTATCTGGATTTCTTGACTTGGAATCTGTGTGTCCATTATTGGTGAATCATTGATAGAAAGGCAGAAGAACTTGTACATATTCATTTATCAAGGCAACATCATGTCATGTCATATTTTGTAATATTGAAATACATTTGGTAAACTTCAAGTGCCGTTGTCTTGCTTATTCTTGGATCTTTAACATCTAGCAAGGCCTAGCTAATAATCATTGTTCAATAAGTGTTTATTGAAGAATTAATTGAATAGAAATATTTTATATAAACTGAAAATATCACTGAGTACATCCAGATTTTAGTGAATACCATCTTGAATATATCAGCCTTTTATAGAGTAAATGCTGGTTTAACATAACAGCTTACATAATTTCTACTAAGGACACAATAGCTACCCAAACTTTAATTTAAAAATCCAGTTATTCTTTGATGATGAATAACAAAAATAATGTTAAGAATCAATGAAGCATTTTCTAATAGAAGAAAACTAATAATGATAAAGTAGACTCATAAAAAGAGGCTAGTTATAAGTCATAAATGTGAGATTAGAAGGTTCACTCAGTGGAAAGTTTGCATGAGAGATTGGTCTTGAACAGAAGGGGATAGGTACTAGCTAACAAAACTGAGAAACACCCCTATAATTCTTATCCATTATTATTCATTTTTATTGCAAAGCAGATATAGATTTAATTCAATTTGCTATGATAAAATAATCTGTTCCTCTTATTTGGAATCAGAACCAACTCACAATTTGGCCTTGCTAAGTCACTGCTTTATGACCCAGCATGATAAAAATGTATCTACTTTGCTCTTGGGAGCTCTTATAGAAAACATCATTCAGTTTTCTCCTCTTCAGTTTCCCCCTTTTTTTTTTTTCCTTTCTAATACCTCATATAACTAACTACTCATCCTTAATGAGAAAAGTAGAATTCTCTTAGACCCATGCTTTAAATCCCTAAAAACTATGCCTATATAGTTCAATAGTTGAATTTTAATAAGTTCAGAATAGTATTACAGCTTCAAAAATAACCAGATAAATAAATATGTAACTATGAATAAATAAATATTTAACTATAGGTGTAAAGCTGAAGACTTAGGCAACAGTTCCAGCACTGGCAGTAATACAGCAAAACAAATCACTCTTCTTTTGACTATAAGAACATTAGGCAAGGAGAATCTATAAGCAGGGAAAACTGTGACATTCAGAATAAAAGAGAGGAAATCATAATAATAAAGACTTCCCACAGGAGCTGAAAGATTCAAGACAATTACAGCTGGTGAGAATGTTCCCCAGCACTGATACCAACCGTGAACCAACCAAATAGGAGATTTTTTTAAAAAATTCTGGGTATCATGTTCATTTCAGTAACATGGATTATGTTTAAATGAAAATTATAAATTGTATTGATTTTTTTGCTTCTTTGCTTATCTTTTAATTTCAAGTTGGAGACAACTTTACAAGCTATCTCAATCTCTTTTGGACTTAGACCTTTTTATGATTTCCTACAGCTTTAGATCTTCACTGGTTTTTCATAGCCTTGGAACTTTCCAAATACACTCTTATATAGCCTCAAGTATAATAACCATGATGCATGTGGCTTTTTTTTTCTTTTTTTGGTACCAGGGATTGAACTCCTATTGAAGTCCTATAATTATAAAACATGTATTGCTTTACTTCACAGCCAGAATATCTGTTTATCATAGTACTTTTTTTTAAAGCATTCTTTTTTTTTTTTTAACCACTAAGCCATATCCCAGCCCTATTTTGTATTTTATTTAGAGACAGGGTCTCGAAGAGTTGCTCAGCACCTCACCATTGCTGAGGCTGGCTTTGAACTCACCATGCTCCTGTCTCAACCTCCAATGCCCCTGGGATTACAAAGGTGCACCACTGCGCCTGACTATGTATTTAACTTCTTTTTTGTTCACAGGCCTAAGGAAAGGTCTTAGGTTTTTTTCTCTGTGTTCCTGAGAAGTTCTCCAAAAACAGCAGATTTTCCCCTCATACTTAAAGTTCAACAGACAAAGAAAACATAGTTTGGCTATATAGATTATTTACTACTTAATAGCTTGGCCTCATTTTGAATCTAAAGTTAGTACCACTTCTAAAATTTATAGTATCTTTAAGTTTTGACACTACAAAGAAAAATACTGTTCCCTTACTATTTTATAAAGGTTTCGAGACTATTAAAAATCCTATGCTTTTTGATAAAATGTTTGAAGTGATTTTAAATGTGTTTTAAGCAGAAAGTTTATTATTTTCTTGTAGCTTACAGTCTGTTTTGTAATCAAAATTTCCTGCATGATTTTTTTAGTACAAAATAATACAAGTTAAGTGAGCATTTTTGCTGTCTAATTTTAAGTTTTCTATTACCCCCCCCCCTTCCTATTTTCAGCTTTCTAAGAAATATGGAGTCCACGTATGTGGAGAAGGTGGAGAATATGAAACATTCACTTTGGATTGCCCTCTATTTAAGAAGAAAATAATTGTGTAAGATATCATTTTAGAAGTTTTTTGCCCTTTCCTTAAATTTAAGTGATAAAAGAAGTAACTTAACATTAAGCTTGAGGCAACTTTTGTTGGGAGAAATAGAACATGTCCTCTAAGTTCACAAACACTCAATTTGTTTAATACCAGTGAAGTTGTCTGAATACTTAAATCAATACCTGACAAGAGGAGGCCTTCATAGAAGGCTATAAACTTTTTAGACATTGCACTTTCGTTTACTTGCTGATTATGGCCTGCAGTAAAACTGGAACCTACACACTGACACTTTTATCCTTTCATGAAGTGTGAATTGCCTGTATTATTTATCTTTCATTACAGCAACATTTGATAAACTGCCACATCAGTAGCCTGTGGGTTCCATTAACTCCATCCTCTTTTTCCTTTTATTTTTGGCTTTAAAAAGTTAGAATAGCATACTAAATATTTCTCTTCAATTACTTGTAGTTATTTTTACATGTAAACTTTGTTTTTAAATAGGTTCAATTTATGGTAAGTAGTATGATTTATTTACCATAAATTGTTAAAATTAGTATACAGAAAAATAGGAGCTTTCTTCAGTTTATTACATTATTATCTATGTTCTAATTTATGTCACTCTTGTCATATGCTAAGAAAGCATTTTATCTCCTTTTCCTGAGTTCTTATGCTTCTTAGAAAAGACTATCTGAATTATGCTTGACTGAATGGACAGTTTTTGGTATTTTCAACAATAAGATTTGAATTCTTTGTACATATTAATAAGAGAGGGAGTAAGTTAAGAAAATTAAGACAGCTCGAGGTAGATTTTCTAAAAAAAATATTTATTTAATAGGATATAGCAAAATGTTTTTATCACAAAAATTCATGTACAAAATTCATGTATACTTTCATGTTTTTCCTGTTTTATTTCCTATTAATAATCAACATAATAATGACTTATTTAGCAAATATTTATCAGGTGTCTATTATGTCCAGAGCATCCTACTGACTGTGGTGATCACACAATGATTCACAAATGAAACATGCATGAGATATTACTTCCATGAAATAGCACTGTTTGATTATTTAAGAAAAGCATCCACATGCTAGGGTGAATTTAGAGTATAATGGAAAACTTGATATATATTTAGTTACTAATATGAGACTAGCAAAATTGGCCAAGGGGAGAACACTAAGAGGAAGAAATCCAAAGAATAAGATTTTACCCATTTACTTGAAAAACTGAAGTCCTATAGTTATAAAACATGTATTGCTTTACTTCACAACCAGAATATCTGCTTATCATAGTACTTTTTTAAAAAAAGCATTCTTTTTTTTAACCTTTATTTTATGTACTTATTTTTATGTGGTGCTGAGGATCGAACCCAGTACCTCACATGTGCAAGTACTCTACCACTAAGCCACAACCCCAGCACCTTATCATAATACTTAAACCTGCATCCCTTAAACCTGATGGAGACAAAGTCTTGAGGGGAACTTGTCATGCTCTTCAAGAAAAGGTATCAAAGAAAGTATATTAGAACTGTCTAATGCCAAATAGAACTATTCATTGCAGCCAAATAATCATTTATTGAGGGAAATTTTTTAAGTGAAACTGCAAACTGTTTCCCTGCTCTGCAAGAGTTCTTTCTGTAAAAAAGAGAGGTGGACAGACAAATCAACAATATGTGAGAGGTGCCACCATACAGATGCACCTTGAGACACAAAGGAAGTCTTACCTTTTTGTTCTTATTCATTTGTCAGTTTATCACCAAATTCTGATGTTTAAGCATATTATTTCCTCTTTTTTCTTTATAGATTATCTCTCTCTTCAGCTTCATTTCTTTCTTACTTGATTCCTTTCTTTTAAATCACCTTCCTATTTCTGCCCACTTTGATAGATCTTTCCCATTCTGAAGGTCTGTGCTACCAACCACCTCCAGTGCTCGTTCTATATGTGAACTCTCAGAACATACAGTAGGCACTGATAAGTATTAAGTGTTGTTAAATTGTATTTTATTATTATTTCTGTTTACATGCTTTGTTTCACATATTTTTATGTATTATTCTCTTTTATATTTAGAGGTTATATATTGAGGATTATCCTGGTTCAATGGAAAAAGGATGTTTCTTACTATGTGCAAAATCCTTCCTCCCCTTTAATATATAATTATCCTTATCATGCCTGCTTAATATGCATCAAATGTAAGTTAACATGCATTATCCATTCTAAAATTATATATAAATGAAAGATATTTTACTTAGACATAGTTTTCCATATGATACAATTAAAAGATAACTTTCTAACAACATTCGACCATTAATAATGCTGGATCTTGTAGTTCAGAATTCATTTGGGGAAAATTTAATAATTTTTGTTTTATGTAATAAATTCTGGTCTGCCCTAGTTAGCATACAACTAATTATTTACAAGGATTCATATTTCAAATGTCTGATTCAAATAAATTTTTTTATTTTAAAAAAGAAAAAGACCACATCTTCCATATACAAAATTGTTTGATTATTATAGGAATATTTTACTTTATATATTTTATATTAAATAAACTTTCACATGCCAAATTATTTGATTATAATTAGGAATCTTTTAAACACAGATTGAATCCTTGTTGTATAGTGAAATAATTTAGAGATTGAAATGATTCCAGAACTTTAACATTTTTTAAATCTTCTAGGAAAGACAGTTTCATAAACCTTCATAATTTTAGAAAATTCAACGTGGAACCTTTTATAATTCACTTTTCATATTAGTTAATATATAAAGTCACTAACCTCTAAAATACAAATTTTAGATCAGAAAATAAGTTTTTTTTTCCTTAGAAGCTCTGATGAAAAGAATTACCGACTAGCTTTTAAAAGAAGAGGACAATTCCTGGGAAATTATAGGTTCTTAAATCTTAAAAAATTACTATCGTATACATATATATCAGAACTTAAATTCTAAAGTATATTAAAGAAAGTAATCACTTTATTTTCTGTGTTGATGAATAATCCTTTTTAATGTCAGTATTGATATTTTTAATGTCAATATTTTCCTTTGGATAGTCAGTATTACTATACTACTGGTACAGAGTTGTTATATATGGGGTAAAGGAAAACCAGAATGAATGAAGGAAGGAAGGACTAAATCACATGGTTAAAAAACTATCCATTTGGTCTGGAGTTGTGGCTCAGTGGTAGAGTACTTACCTAGCATGTGTGAGGCCCTGGGTTCAATTCTCAGCACCACATATAAATGAATAAAATAAAAATCTATTGATAACTAAACAAATATTAAAAGAAAAAAAAATTTTAAACTATCCATTCATTTTCTACTTTCTCAAACTACTCATATTTGCTACCTATTCAAGATATATTCAGTACAGAGCACCATACTGAGGCATTTCCCCATGAGGAGGGAGCAAAGACTTTTAACTTAGTTGCCTTCTCATATTGATTTTGTATTAACTGGGAATTTATTTAAATGTATTAACTCTTTTTCTTATATTTAAATTTTTAGATCCATTAACCTTTATTTTTATTATGCTAGGAATACTATATGGCATTATTGATATTTATGTGTGCATGAATGTTTACATGTACATCAAATGTAATATGCATATTAAATATTGTTAAATTGCCATTATTATATTCTTTACATGCTTTGTTTCACAAACTTTTTAAAGTATTACTCATGAAAGAGACAGTGTTATGTATGTATGAAAAAGTATGTATTCATGTGAAGGTAATTAAAATTAGTGTGGATTTCTGATCATTTCAGTAGTTAATATGAAAATGTAAAGGTGTTTGACAAAGTTTAACTATACAGTTATTAATGTCTAATTAATCCCAGTCATTGTACTCTACTGAGCTGGGGTAAATTGGGATGGCACATGAACAGGCAAAGATGAACAAAACTAATACCTCTCACACAATTACAGTAGATGTGTTATAACAGGGCTATAAATGCAATACTAAAGAACATGAAGAAGAAAACTAGTACTGACTGTGGGTATAAGGACTGGCTTCACAGAAATCACATCTAGATGTCTGTGAGGGTAGGTGTGAGTCTACAGGACTCGCAAGAGGGCTTCCTCTGTACTTTATCTTTCTGTTCCTCCTCATGATACCTGGAAGCATCAATTTAGTTGATGTAACCTATGAAGGTAAGTCATATCTTTTCATTAGGATCCTGACTCATGAATGATTCTATTTCTGTTGTGTTATACTTTGCTTTTCTTTTAATGTCCAACAAGTTCCGTCTTCTAATTGGTGGATTATAAGTATACATAGTAATAGAATTTATTATGCCTTATTTGTATATGTACATATTATGTAAAAACTGATTACTCACATTCCCCAGTACTTTCCCTTTCCCACCCAACTCCCTTCCCCTGATCTGTTTACTCTACTTTAGTGATCATTCTATTGTTTTATTATTAATATCTTAATTGGTGCATTATAGTTATATATAAAAGAAGTCCTTTTTAATGTTGCTTTTCCTAATCATTAACAAAATGCATATTTGATATAAAGGTTCATGAATGTAAGTCACTTTTTTTATAAATCATCAAACATACTTTTGTTTTTGTTTGTTTATTTTTGGTACTGGGAATTAAACCCAGGGGTCCTTTACCACTAAGCTACATCCCCAGTGTTTTTAATTTTTGATTTTGAGACAGGGTCATGCTAAGGTGCTGAGACTGGCCTCTAGCTTGCAATTCTCCTGCCAAGGATCCCTCCCAAATCACTGGTATTACAGGTGTAATCCACCATTCCTGGCATCAAACATAGTTTTTAAATCTAACTTGAATCTTTCATATAGAAAGTAAACATATTTTGCTCATGGAAATTTAGTATTTTGCAGTCACATATTCTGATGTTTCTTCTATTGCCTCTAAATAACTTTATATCACAAAAGTTGATTCAAAAATGTTTTTGCCTTAGTGACAAAAAGTCAAAGTAAGGATTTATTCTGCTATACTACAGTGATCAAAATGCTAACAATATTAATCCAAACAATGGAACTACTTCCTAAGGCATTAAAGAAATATGAGAAATTTCTATTTAAATTTCCAGTTAAAATGCAAAGTATTATCACTCCCAATAAACAATAATAAAAAATAATTAGCTATTAGAACTTCACACATAATTTGTTATTCATATGTGTTTTACAGGGTATCTTTGATAAAGTTGGGTTAATTTACATGTATCTTATGGTTCTAACAAGCAGTTCATACCATTTTACCTGAATGTGGTAATTACTATGTCAGGCGATCAATTTTAATAGCAATGATGTTGCAGTGTGAAGAGTTCAGCTGAAGCTTAAACCATCCTGGGTAATGCTTTTGTGAAAGATAATTGAGATTTTGTGTGAAACACTGAATGACTTACCTTTTGAAAATAAAAAGAATAATGAAGATAAAGCACTAATGTTTAGTCCCTACCAAGCAAATTTGTGAAAATGAAATTGAACAGGAGTTTAAGTCTTAAAATTGTTCCAAGAGCTTTGAGTGAACCTACAAGTTGAACTATGTGCTCTTATGAAGATGAAAAACTTCATTATTTTTTCAAAAGTTTACTATTCTTGATCCTTTTACCTAATTATTGAATCATTAAAAATACATGTTAATCACTGCATGTTGTACATCAATGGAAATTAGTACACAGTGAGGATTTTTTGTCTCTTCTGTGAGTAGCAGGAGTAACTTGCCATAATTTGTATAGTAAATAAATGCATTATAATTATATTTCAGGGATTCTTCAGAAGTGGTTGTACATTCAGCTGATGCATTTGCACCTGTGGCTTATCTACGCTTTTTAGAATTGCACTTAGAAGACAAGGCAAGTAAATCTAAGATTTACAGTGACTTTATTTGAAAAGTGAGATACACACATTGACTCTGTATATATAGTTCTGTGACATTATATGAGAGGAGAAAGCAAATTGATTTTGTTATTAGTGATTTTTTTCAGCTCCTCAGTCAATAACTAAGAATATTAAAACTGCTTATAATCTTAAGATCGCTATGATACAAAGAAATTACATTTCAGAAAAGTTTGCAGGCAGGTCAGTGAAATGGGAGTAATACATTAAACAATGAGAAGATAAAGGACAATATAAAACCAAGTATTAAATCATGTAGCAAGATAAGAATTAGGTTATTGTGCATAAGTATTACAGGGAAGATTTGATGATGAATTGGATTTCTTCATACAAATAAGAAGAGAGGAGAAATACAGCTTTTCTGAAAATATTCAGGGGAAGAGAAGTACAAGGGAAAGATGGAAAATGAGGCAAAAGTGCAGTAGAGCTCTTTTTAAAATACAACAAAATGTCAATTTAATGATGTTGAGTGGGGGCTGAGGTTATAGCTCAGTAGTGGAGCTATTGCCTTACACATGTGAGGTTCTGGGTTTGATCCTCAGCACCAAATAAAAAAATAAATAAATAAAGCAAATTAAAAAAAATATGTTGAGTGGAATCAGTAAAAATCTGGATTAGATCCTTTGATTGTAAGGTGTGATCCTTGAAATATTGCTTTATATATTTCTGTCTTCATAGAAATACCAGCTGAAATTGTGTAAGGAAATGAGACTAATGACAGATAAAAAAAAAAAAAGATTAGAAAAAGTATTCTGTGTGTCTGTGTTTTTTTTTCCAAATCTTGAGACACACTCCTACTTACATGTTTGGGATAGGGAATCTGAAGGATCAAGAGAATTAACGAGGATTCAGCAAAAATTAGGAAAACTCTTTGAGAGTTTCCATAATAGAAAATAGTTACTGATACCAGGTCTCCAGAAAGATGATGATGAACAGGATTGAAAAAATAGGTCAGTCAATTGGGCTGGAATTGCCTTTTATCAAAAAACTGATTGAAGTAATACTATCCAAACATTTCTCAGACTTACTAAAAGGAACCCCTTACTTTTAGGCCCTTCTGCTTTTGCTGCATGTACACACACACAAATTCAAAACCATTAAATTCTTGTTTAGGTACTACTACAATTATATGTTCAGCTCTACCTAAACAGCTAACTATTCACTTTGCTGTTTGGTATTGTATTTGTCTTTACAGTCCATTTCCCTATTGAACATTACAATGTTAGATCTTTAAGGTGAGATATCTACTGACATTGAATAAAAATGATGCATTTACCTTCATTTTCTTCTTCTTCTTATCTCTCTCTCTCTATCTCTCTCTCTCTCTTTTTCAGGTATCTCCAGAGCCTGACAACTATAAAACATCTACGTATATACATAATTTTTGAAAAAGCATTTTCAAAAACATCATTGACTAAGCAGTCATTTTTGTACAGAAAAGTTAACATAGCATTTTGTCAATTACTATGGCCAGTTTTTCCCATTACTTTATTTTTTTATTTTTTAAATGCTTTTTTTAAGAAGAAATTAATAGAATCATTGATTAATTGAAAAAATATCAACAGCTTATTCATTAACATTACCAACTTCTCTATATTGACTTTTTCTTTGGTTAACACAACCTTTCCATGACTTCTATGTGACATATATCTTTTGTTCTCCTTTAATTTTACCTGTAACTCCTGTATGTGTAATTATTTCTTTAATTGCACTATTTTCCTCTTTATTCTTCTCATCCTTGCAATCTATGTCATGATACAGAAGCATATGAAAAGACAATCACTTTATTTAGCCAGTTGAGTTTATTTTACTGTATATCACCAAAATGATCTCTATTTTTTGTATCAACGTTACTGGACAAATAGGAATAATACCATTACTTTAATTGGTTATTTTATAATCATGTTTATTTACACCCTCTTTAAAAAAAATAGAATGTGGGGGGCATCTTTCAGTTCACAGCAAAATTGAGATGTACGGAGTTCCCTTATATACTCCCTGCTTCCACACAAGCATGGTCTACTCCACCATAAACTTTCTGTGCCAGAGTCATACATTTTTTACAACTGCTGAACCTATTTTGATTAAATATTATCATAAAAAGCCCATAGTTTACATTAAGGTTCACTGTTAATTTTTACAGTCTATATGTTTTGATAATGTCAAATAGTATCCACTATTACAATATCATACAGAATAGTTTTGCCACCTTAAGATCTATGTTCCACTTATTCATTTCTTCACTGGTATTCTTTAATCTCTGGCAACCACTCATTTTATTGTCTCCATACCTTTGTTTTTTCCAGGATGTCATATAAAAAAAATACTGTATGTATCCTTTCCCGATTAGCTTCTTTCTCTTATTAATTTGCATTTAGGTTCCCTCATTTTTTTTTAAGTCTTGTTAGCTTATTTCTTACAAGTACCTAATAATATTCCATTGTCTGAACATAACAAAGTTTATTATATCCTTTCACCTCCTTAAGGACAACTTAGTTGCTTCCACCTTTTAGCAATTATGAATATAACTACTATAAACATCCATGTGCATGTTTTTGTGTAAACATAAGTTTTCAATTCATTTGTATAAATACCAATGAATATGATTATTGTATTTATAAAAGTATAATGAAAGGATGTTTAGCTGTACTATTTTGCATCCCACCAGTAATAAATGAATTTCTTTTCTTACATTCTTAACAGCATTAGATGTTGTTTTGGCTATTATATTAGGTTTGTAGCGTTATCTCATTGTTGTTAAAGTTTGAAGTTTTCTAATGATTTAAGACATTGAGCATCTTTTCTTATGCTTATCTGCCATCTGTATATCTTCTCTGGTGAAATTTTTCTTTATAGATCTTTCGCCCATTTTTTTTTTTTGTTAGAATTTAACCTTTTACTTTATTTATTTTTTGGTGGTGTTTGTTTTTATGTGGTGCTGACCATGGTCCCAGGGCCTCACCCATTCTAGGTAAGCACTCTACCGCTGAGCCATAAACCCAGCCCCTCTTTTGCCCATTTTAATTGGATTATTAACATTAATATTGAGTATTAAGAGTTCTTTGTATATTTTGGATAGCAGGGTTTTTTTGAGTATATCATTTGTACATATTTTCTCCCATTCTGTAGTTTAACATCTGCTTCTCATAGTAATTAATGTTTTTCACAGACCAGAAGTTTTTTAATTTTAATAAAGCTGAACTTATCAACTCTTTCCTTTTTTTATTGTACCTTTAATGTTATATCCAAAAAAATTCCACCCAAACCCAAGTCTATCTAGATTTTATTCTATGTTATCTTTTGAGAGTTTGATAGCTTTATGTTTTACATTTGTGTCTTTAATACATTTTGAATTGATTTTATAAAGGATATAAGATCAGTGTATAGATTTATTTTTTAAAAGTAGATATCCATTTGTTCTAGCACAATTTTTCTTCTTTGTATTGCCTTGTTATTTTAGTTATTTGTGTGAACTATTTCTGGACTCTGTACTTTGTTCCATTGACCCATCTATTCCTCTGCCAGTACCACACTTTTTGGATTATTAAAACATAGTGAGTCTGGTCAGATAGTATCAGTCTTCAGACTTACTTAGTTCTTCTTCAATATTATATCAACTATACTGTGTATTTATTTATTTATTTATTTGGTGCTGAGGATCGAACCCAGAGCCTTACCTGTGCTAGGTGAGTGCTCTACCACTGAGCCACAACCCCAGCTCTGTCTTTTGTTTCTTATCCACAAAATACCTTTTTGGAATTTTTATGGAATTGTGTTGAATCTATATATAAGGTTGGGAAGAACTGACATTTTGGTAATAGTGAGTCTCCTCACATACTTAGTTCTCAGAACTTTGATTTTGTTATATATTAAAATTTATATACTTATATATTAAAATTTTATTTAGTTCATCAGAGTTCTGTTTAGATATCTTTTATATCCATTATTAAATTGGACATGTTAAATATGGCCTTAGGACTATTTGTCATTATATATAAAATTTGAACTTATTTCCCACTCCACATGTATTTTTCTCATTTTGTTATTTATCACAACTGATTCATCCGTACTGGTTCAGGCACAGAATTTTGTTATCGTTCTGTAAACTATATCTCTTTCACCATGAACATTCAATTGATTATCTCATCCTTTATATTGTAGTTCTAATATATCTCTTACCTCATTACATCCCCATGCCCATCTCTTCAATTAAAGTTGTACCTTGCCCAAACTCTTCTAGTTTGAGTCCATTCTTTGCTTCCATACGTTTCATAGTCAATTCTACCACCATATTGATTTTCCTTTCTAGTGTTCATTTCCTTGCACAAAATTCCACAATAGTGTTACATTCCTTTCTAAAGTTATAAGATGATTGGCCATGAATCAAAGGCCATTTGGCATATGTCTAGAGCAACTTTTTTCACTCTTTGTCTTAGGCCTCTCCTATATGTATCCTTTGTTCTAATAATACTGAAACATTTAGATTCTCCCTTCTGCTTTTCTTCTCCCTTACCTTTGCTTATTTTGTCTTATCTGCTTTCTTTTCTTCTTCTCTTTAACTGATTACATCTTATCCATGACACAACCTTGAACTCAAATACTGTGTCATGCATTTATTCAACAAAATAAACTACCCTAACACTTTGTTTCTTCCCATTTTTTGTGACAAATAACTTTATTTAGCTTTATGTTATCAAGAACTTAAGTAATTTTACTAGGTTGCAAATTTCTTGAGGACTGATCTTTTTCATTGTCTCACCCTCTGGTTCAGCTATTAGCTTTTAAGTGTTATGTGACTCAGTTGGTAGAGTGCTTGCCTAGCATATGCACGTTCAATCCCTAAAATTGGGAAAAAACAAGTTCAATAAGAAGTTTGCAATTGAACTAATTATTTATACTTCGTTTTTTCCTTCATACAGACTCTTAGAGATACGTTTTCCATTTTATGTTGAATATCATTTTATGAATAACTTAATTATTTATTATAGAAAACTGCTCTAAGCAAACTAGAATATAAAATACAACATTTAGAGAGGTTGTTTTGTGTATATTCTAAGTTATCATTCAGATTTTCACTTTGTATGTGATGACTACTATTAAACTTTTAAATAATTTACTTAAATTTTACCTTTAAGTTAAAATCTTGAATTATTTATGTGTGTATTAAAATATCAACTAAACATGGATCCCAAGCAAAATAGTTGAATAATGCAAAGCTCTGAGTTAAAAATGGGGAAATATATTAGAATTTCTTTGGGACCCTCATTTTATTGCTTATGGCAAACTCGATGTTAAGATGTATTATATATCACTGCAATGATGGGCTTGAGAAAATGAAAAATACAAAGCTTTACATAAATCAACCAAAAGATCATATTAAAATGTATAACCTTCAAAAAGAGAAAAATCAAGAATTTTATTTGTTAACTATTCAGATACTTTTCCTTATATAGTTGTTTTGGATTTTCAGATAGATTTATGGAATATAATATTTCAAATTAATTGTTGGCAAAGCCAATGTATTTATAAAGAAGCAAGGTTCAGGGCTGGGACTGTAGCTCAGTGGCAGAGCGCTAGCCTATCATGTGTGAGGCACCAGGTTCGATCCTTGGCACTGCATTTTTAAAAAAAAACTAAACAAATAAAGGCATGATGTCCATCTACATCTATTTAATTTTTTTTAAGTGAGGTTCACAGAAATTTAGCTTTGCTAATGTTCTACTATGGCTTAGTACTTAATTTTTCTTTTTTGGAAATAATCCTTACTCTATAGTCAAAAAAAAAA